AGATGAAGATCGCCTACCCCAACCTTCTGTTCGACCGCAACATCATCGATGGTCGCGCCATGATGTGCTCCTTCCTGACCTTGTCCATCGGCAACAACCAGGGTTGGGGACTCAGTGTGGGATGCAGACATCTGACAAACTCTCATCTGAGCTTCGGCTTAGGTTGACGGTCGTGCATCTGTAACACGGTAACTTGGGCCGAGGTATGGGTGACGTCGAGTACGGTAAGATCTACGACTTCTACCTGCCCCCTGAGTTCCTCCGCCTGTACGACGGCCCGGCCGTGAACGTGGAGGACATGTGGCGCATCCTGGGCAAGGGCACCAGCAACGGTGGCCTCGTGGTGGGCACCATCATCAAGCCCAAGCTCGGCCTGCAGCCCAAGCCATTCGGCGAGGCCTGCTATGCGTTCTGGCAGGGCGGCGACTTCATCAAGAACGATGAGCCCCAGGGCAACCAGGTGTTCTGCCAGATGAACGAGGTCATCCCAGAGGTTGTGAAGGCCATGAGGGCGTGCATCAAGGAGACTGGTGTGGGCAAGCTCTTCTCTGCCAACATCACCGCGGATGATCCCAACGAGATGATTGCCCGCGGCAAGTACTGTCTGTCCCAGTTCGGACCTCTGTCCGAGAACTGCGCGTTCTTGGTGGACGGCTATGTGGCTGGAGGCACGGCCGTGACCTGCGCCCGCCGCAACTTCCCAGGACAGTTCCTGCACTACCACCGTGCCGGACATGGATCCGTGACCAGCCCCCAGACCCAGCGTGGTTACACCGCCTTCGTGCACACCAAGATCTCCCGAGTCATCGGTGCGTCCGGCATCCACACCGGCACCATGAGCTTTGGCAAGATGGAGGGCGATGCCTCAGACAAGAACATCGCCTTCATGCTGCAAGACGACGCGGCCGATGGCCCCTACTACCACCAGCCGTGGGAGGGCATGAAGCAGACCACTCCCATCATCTCCGGCGGCATGAACGCCCTGCGCCTGCCGGCCTTCTTCGAGAACCTGGGACACTCCAACGTGATCCTGACCGCCGGTGGCGGCTCCTTCGGCCACAAGGATGGCCCCAAGCCGGGTGCCGTCTCCTGCCGCCAGGGTGAGGAGGCCTGGAAGGCCTGGAAGTCCGGACAGTACGGCAACATCAGCCTGAGCGATGGCGTGATCGAGTTCGCCAAGACCCACGAGGAGATCAAGGGTGCCTTCCTCACCTTCCAGAAGGATGCGGACCAGATCTACCCGGGCTGGAAGGAGAAGCTCGGCTACACCGGCGAGTCGTCCGTGCAGGCGGCCAGCTTCGACTGGGCCAAGAAGGCCTCCGCCGCCGCCTTCGTGGGTGCCAGCGTGGCCCCTGCCAAGAAGGAGAGCAGCATCTCGCGCAAGGCCCTGGACCAGTCCAGCCGCTATGCGGACCTGTCGTTGGACGAGGCGACCCTCATCAAGAGACCCAGCTGCAGTCAAGATATGTCAAACTGCATGAAGTGCAGCATGTGGCAACATGTAAAGTCGATCTCGAGCCTGTCCTTTCTAGCGCTGTGCATCGCTGTGCCAATTCGGTAGGCAGGTTTTGCTATTGCTGCATTTGTGCGAGAGCTGCGACAAGGAATGGCAAGCACGTGCTGGTGGCGTACATCATGAAGCCGAAGGCCGGGTACGACTACCTGGCCACCGCCGCCCACTTCGCCGCCGAGTCCTCCACGGGCACCAACGTGAACGTGTGCACCACGGACGACTTCACGAAGTCCGTGGATGCCCTGGTGTACTACATCGACCCCGACAGCGAGGAGATGAAGATCGCCTACCCCAACCTGTTGTTCGACCGCAACATCATCGATGGCCGCGCCATGATGTGCTCCTTCCTGACCCTGTCCATCGGCAACAACCAGGGTTGGGGACTCAGTGTGGGATGCAGACATCTGACAAACTCTTATCTGAGCTTCGGCTTAGGTTGACGGTCGTGCATCTGTAAAACGGTAGCTTGGGCCGAGGTATGGGTGACGTCGAGTACGGTAAGATCTACGACTTCTACCTGCCCCCTGAGTTCCTCCGCCTGTACGATGGCCCGGCCGTGAACGTGGAGGACATGTGGCGCATCCTCGGCAAGGGCACCAGCAACGGTGGCCTTGTGGTGGGCACCATCATCAAGCCCAAGCTCGGCCTGCAGCCCAAGCCATTCGGCGAGGCCTGCTATGCGTTCTGGCAGGGCGGCGACTTCATCAAGAACGATGAGCCCCAGGGCAACCAGGTGTTCTGCCAGATGAACGAGGTCATCCCAGAGGTTGTGAAGGCCATGAGGGCGTGCATCAAGGAGACCGGCGTGGGCAAGCTGTTCTCTGCCAACATCACTGCAGATGATCCCAACGAGATGATTGCCCGCGGCAAGTACTGCTTGTCCCAGTTCGGGCCTCTGTCCGAGAACTGCGCGTTCTTGGTAGATGGCTACGTGGCTGGAGGCACGGCCGTGACCTGCGCCCGCCGCAACTTCCCAGGACAGTTCCTGCACTACCACCGTGCCGGACATGGATCCGTGACCAGCCCCCAGACCCAGCGTGGTTACACCGCCTTCGTGCACACCAAGATCTCCCGAGTCATCGGTGCGTCCGGCATCCACACCGGAACCATGAGCTTCGGCAAGATGGAGGGCGATGCCTCGGACAAGAACATCGCCTTCATGCTGCAGGACGACGCGGCCGATGGCCCCTACTACCACCAGCCATGGGAGGGCATGAAGCAGACCACTCCCATCATCTCCGGCGGCATGAACGCCCTGCGCCTGCCGGCCTTCTTCGAGAACCTGGGACACTCCAACGTGATCCTGACCGCCGGCGGTGGCTCTTTCGGCCACAAGGATGGCCCCAAGCCGGGCGCCGTCTCCTGCCGCCAGGGTGAGGAGGCCTGGAAGGCCTGGAGGTCAGGACAGTACGGCAACATCAGCCTGAGCGATGGCGTGATCGAGTTCGCCAAGACCCATGAGGAGATCAAGGGTGCCTTCCTCACCTTCCAGAAGGATGCGGACCAGATCTACCCTGGCTGGAAGGAGAAGCTCGGCTACACCGGCGAGTCGTCCGTGCAGGCGGCCAGCTTCGACTGGGCCAAGAAGGCCTCCGCCGCCGCCTTCGTGGGTGCCAGCGTGGCCCCTGCCAAGAAGGAGAGCAGCATCTCGCGCAAGGCCCTTGATCAGTCCAGCCGCTATGCGGACCTGTCCCTGGATGAGGCGACTCTCATCAAGAGACCCAGCTGCAGGAACTGTCCAGGCATGTTAGGTAGGTAGGTATGTTTAATTAAGGAGGCTCTGCTATCTGGTCTGTAGCGGAGGTGCGAAGGCCATGCTGATCAGTGAGATGAGTCATTGGGGTGCAATGTGTACTTAGGAACGGCAAGCACGTGCTGGTGGCGTACATCATGAAGCCGAAGGCCGGGTACGACTACCTGGCCACCGCCGCCCACTTCGCCGCCGAGTCCTCCACGGGCACCAACGTGAACGTGTGCACCACGGACGACTTCACGAAGTCCGTGGATGCCCTGGTGTACTACATCGACCCCGACAGCGAGGAGATGAAGATCGCCTACCCCAACCTGTTGTTCGACCGCAACATCATCGATGGCCGCGCCATGATGTGCTCCTTCCTGACCCTGTCCATCGGCAACAACCAGGGTTGGGGACTCAGTGTGGGATGCAGACATCTGACAAACTCTTATCTGAGCTTCGGCTTAGGTTGACGGTCGTGCATCTGTAAAACGGTAGCTTGGGCCGAGGTATGGGTGACGTCGAGTACGGTAAGATCTACGACTTCTACCTGCCCCCTGAGTTCCTCCGCCTGTACGACGGCCCGGCCGTGAACGTGGAGGACATGTGGCGCATCCTCGGCAAGGGCACCAGCAACGGTGGCCTTGTGGTGGGCACCATCATCAAGCCCAAGCTCGGCCTGCAGCCCAAGCCATTCGGCGAGGCCTGCTACGCGTTCTGGCAGGGCGGCGACTTCATCAAGAACGATGAGCCCCAGGGCAACCAGGTGTTCTGCCAGATGAACGAGGTCATCCCAGAGGTTGTGAAGGCCATGAGGGCGTGCATCAAGGAGACCGGCGTGGGCAAGCTCTTCTCTGCCAACATCACCGCGGATGATCCCAACGAGATGATTGCCCGCGGCAAGTACTGCTGTCCCAGTTCGGGCCTCTGTCCGAGAACTGCGCGTTCTTGGTGGATGGCTACGTGGCTGGAGGCACGGCCGTGACCTGCGCCCGCCGCAACTTCCCAGGACAGTTCCTGCACTACCACCGTGCCGGACATGGATCCGTGACCAGCCCCCAGACCCAGCGTGGTTACACCGCCTTCGTGCACACCAAGATCTCCCGAGTCATCGGCGCGTCCGGCATCCACACCGGCACCATGAGCTTCGGCAAGATGGAGGGCGATGCCTCAGACAAGAACATCGCCTTCATGCTGCAGGACGACGCGGCCGATGGCCCCTACTACCACCAGCCTTGGGAGGGCATGAAGCAGACGACTCCCATCATCTCCGGCGGCATGAACGCCCTGCGCCTGCCGGCCTTCTTCGAGAACCTGGGACACTCCAACGTGATCCTGACCGCCGGTGGCGGCTCCTTCGGCCACAAGGATGGCCCCAAGCCGGGTGCCGTCTCCTGCCGCCAGGGTGAGGAGGCCTGGAAGGCCTGGAAGTCCGGACAGTACGGCAACATCAGCCTGAGCGATGGCGTGATCGAGTTCGCCAAGACCCACGAGGAGATCAAGGGTGCCTTCCTCACCTTCCAGAAGGATGCGGACCAGATCTACCCGGGCTGGAAGGAGAAGCTCGGCTACACCGGCGAGTCGTCCGTGCAGGCGGCCAGCTTCGACTGGGCCAAGAAGGCCTCCGCCGCCGCCTTCGTGGGTGCCAGCGTGGCCCCTGCCAAGAAGGAGAGCAGCGTCTCGCGCAAGGCCCTGGACCAGTCCAGCCGCTATGCGGACCTGTCGTTGGACGAGGCGACCCTCATCAAGAGACCCAGCTGCAGTCAAGATATGTCAAACTGCATGAAGTGCAGCATGCGGCAACATGTAAAGTCGATCTCGAGCCTGTCCTTTCTAGCGCTGTGCATCGCTGTGCCAATTCGGTAGGCAGGTTTTGCTATTGCTGCATTTGTGCGAGAGCTGCGACAAGGAATGGCAAGCACGTGCTGGTGGCGTACATCATGAAGCCGAAGGCCGGGTACGACTACCTGGCCACCGCCGCCCACTTCGCCGCCGAGTCCTCCACGGGCACCAACGTGAACGTGTGCACCACGGACGACTTCACGAAGTCCGTGGATGCCCTGGTGTACTACATCGACCCCGACAGCGAGGAGATGAAGATCGCCTACCCCAACCTGTTGTTCGACCGCAACATCATCGATGGCCGCGCCATGATGTGCTCCTTCCTGACCCTGTCCATCGGCAACAACCAGGGTTGGGGACTCAGTGTGGGATGCAGACATCTGACAAACTCTTATCTGAGCTTCGGCTTAGGTTGACGGTCGTGCATCTGTAACACGGTAACTTGGGCCGAGGTATGGGTGACGTCGAGTACGGTAAGATCTACGACTTCTACCTGCCCCCTGAGTTCCTCCGCCTGTACGACGGCCCGGCCGTGAACGTGGAGGACATGTGGCGCATCCTCGGCAAGGGCACCAGCAACGGTGGCCTTGTGGTGGGCACCATCATCAAGCCCAAGCTCGGCCTGCAGCCCAAGCCATTCGGCGAGGCCTGCTACGCGTTCTGGCAGGGCGGCGACTTCATCAAGAACGATGAGCCCCAGGGCAACCAGGTGTTCTGCCAGATGAACGAGGTCATCCCAGAGGTTGTGAAGGCCATGAGGGCGTGCATCAAGGAGACCGGCGTGGGCAAGCTGTTCTCTGCCAACATCACCGCGGATGATCCCAACGAGATGATTGCCCGCGGCAAGTACTGCCTGTCCCAGTTCGGACCCCTGTCCGAGAACTGCGCGTTCTTGGTAGATGGTTACGTGGCTGGAGGCACGGCCGTGACCTGCGCCCGCCGCAACTTCCCAGGACAGTTCCTGCACTACCACCGTGCCGGACATGGATCCGTGACAAGCCCCCAGACGCAGCGTGGTTACACCGCCTTCGTGCACACCAAGATCTCCCGAGTCATCGGTGCGTCCGGCATCCACACCGGAACCATGAGCTTCGGCAAGATGGAGGGCGATGCCTCGGACAAGAACATCGCCTTCATGCTGCAGGACGACGCGGCTGATGGCCCCTACTACCACCAGCCGTGGGAGGGCATGAAGCAGACCACTCCCATCATCTCCGGCGGCATGAACGCCCTGCGCCTGCCGGCCTTCTTCGAGAACCTTGGACACTCCAACGTGATCCTGACCGCTGGTGGCGGCTCCTTCGGCCACAAGGATGGCCCCAAGCCGGGCGCCGTCTCCTGCCGCCAGGGCGAGGAGGCCTGGAAGGCCTGGAGGTCCGGACAGTACGGCAACATCAGCCTGAGCGATGGCGTGATCGAGTTCGCCAAGACCCACGAGGAGATCAAGGGTGCCTTCCTCACCTTCCAGAAGGATGCGGACCAGATCTACCCGGGCTGGAAGGAGAAGCTCGGCTACACCGGCGAGTCGTCCGTGCAGGCGGCCAGCTTCGACTGGGCCAAGAAGGCTCCATGAAGTTGCAAACCTAATCCTGACCCACCCCGAGGCCGAATCCCCGTAATCCCTACGACCTTAAGGCACTGTACCCTACTCCTCCCCTGTCTGGACAGAGCTTGTGTGGGGATCTGCTAGACACCTCTGAGAAGCTCGAACCTTAAGCCCTCAACCCTTAACCCTCAAGCTTAAGCCCGACACCCTAAACCCCAGCCCTGAACAAAAACCGTCCTGGCCGACTGATGCGTGGCAGGCCTGAAGCAAGGACCTCCGCACGCGGCCCGGCCTTGAACACTCTGGGCCTTGACACGGTTTCAGGTTGAGGGTTTAGGGGGTTAGGGTTCAGGGTTTAGGGGGTTTAGGGTTCAGGGTTTAGGGGGTTTAGGGTTTAGGGGTTTAGGTTTTAGGGTTTAGGGTTTAGGCTTTAGGGCTGGGTGATGTTGGGGGTTCAGGGTTTACGGCGCATGGAGTTTAAGGTTGTGAAGTTTTCCTCACCAGTCAGGAACCACGGCGAAGCCCAGCTCCTGAAATCTTAGGCCCTAGGCCAAAAAGCGGCTGCAGAAGGTGTATATGTATATTTATCCATAATAAATAAATAAATATGCATATATATATATACACATATCTATATATACGTATGTATGAAGTATGTATATATGTATATGTATATATGTATGTATGTATGTATGTATGTATGTATGTATGTATGTATGTATGTATGTATGTATGTATGTATGTATGTATGTATGTATGTATGTATGTATGTATGTATGTATGTATGTATGTATGTATGTATGTATGTATGTATGTATGTATGTATGTATGTATGTATGTATGTATGTATGTATGTATGTATGT